AAAAAGTTTGACTTCAGAAATCGACATGACTTCCCAAGAATGTTACGGGATATGGCAAAAGCAAGCAGCATGAAATGAGCGGATTTTTTACGTTTCTTGCCTATCGCTAGACACATAGGAAAACTGCCTAACCGAGACTAGTTCTCGAGTTCGCTTTTCGTCAGTGATTGCAAAACACTAACTTCGATTTGTCCGGACACATGATGTGAGCAAAGCAGAATTTGAAATCCCTAGCTCAGACAGGGGCATAGAACACCTCTGTGAAGTTTCATCTTCCTATCTTGCTTGGTTCCCGAAATCGCTTTCACATATTTGCCTTCGGATATATCTGTACGTGAGACCCCAGGCGCGCATGAACGATCTGCTCTCTTGAAGTGCCCTCGGGTTCACTTTTTTTCCATCTGTCTTTGATCTACTTCTGACATACCTCTGATCCACCTTTAATCTGCCCTCGACCTAGTTTGATTTATATTTGATACACCTTTGATCTACCTTTGCTCCACTTTATGCCTATTTTCGATCTACCTTTAAACTACCCTTGATACCAATCCAACATAAATCAGTCGGTGTAATGGTGATCCCGCGGATATTGTGGTGCCAATTCAACACAGACTGTACGGCTTTCCCTAAATGACAAGAATCGCTGATTATGATTTCAAGGAAACCGACTGTAACACAGTGTGACCCTTCCTTTACCACGGATTTTACTAAAACATACCTTTAAAAGATTGTCAGTGATGTTGCTAGGATGCTACCAAAGCTATGCCAGGCCTTCAGTTGAGGGTCGCATACCTCCAGTTGGTATCAACAGCCAGTTCAAGTACTTCTGCTACTTCTTCCATGGCTGACTGAGTGGTTGTTTTCTTTTCGTCGACATAGGCCATTGTCTTCAGCACAATGTTATGTGCTGAAAACGGTCCTTCCAGTTCGCTATGAAATCTGCACTACTTACAGCCCTTCTGCGCGCTACCTTCGGCTGGAGACTGTGGTGCATCATCAAGAATACCATGACCAAAATATATGTATTAATATATTATCAAACAGTATATGCGGTTGTGCAACAGCATTTATTTGTAATGGGCATTTCTTTCAAAGAAAACGGAAATTTTTAGGCACTGGTTGCGGCGCTACCCGGCTGCTCATCAACAAGCTTCAACGTTCGCGTACGCCTTACTGAAATAAATATTGCACAGTTTAATATTATCAGGTTGGATATCTCGACAAAATAGAAATATACAAAACCAAGCCGCATAAAAGTTGCACAGGTAAGATTTGCATTTCATTAATACAACATTCCACTTTCTTCTTTTTTTTGTCTTCCAATTAATTTTTACCCTCAAGCACGTGCAGACCTTCATCTATTCTCTTTTACTTATTATTCATAAACTAACTTTCATAATATTAGTTATCTAAATACTTGAACAGCTGTGTATCATCGACGTTTGTTGTCGCGCCATAGATGCAGCTGGCAACTTCTCCATTCGTCTCGTTCTTGCACTCGCCGAGCAACACCATATAGGTGTACCATTAAGTTTCTCAGCCTCGCTAGGGACCTCCCCAGTGTTCGTTTGACCGCGTTTGTGCACCGTTTCGTCCGTCCGCTGTCTGCCACCCGTAGCACATGACCAGCACATCTCTTCTTGCTGCCATATATTGCTTCAGTGATACCCTTCACGCCAGCTCTGATATGGAGCATTTCGTTAAAGATGTGTTACAGCCTACTGACGCAAACCATCCGTCGCTCCACTGCTCGTTGAGACAATGCTAATTTCCGTTCTTCAGCAAGCATGATATTCCACATCTCGCATCCATGTGATATAACTGGTAATACGGTTGCTCTGAAAACTACTGCTTCTGCAAGTAAAATGGATCTTTTATAGTAGAATATACCGCATAGCTTGGCGAAAACTATCCATCCTGCTTTTATCTTTCTCGTTATTTTGATGCCCAGATCGCTGTTCATCTGCACTTCTTGTCCCAAGTAAGTACAACTGTTCACAAGTTCGATGAAGTTGTTGCCTAGTTTCTTGCTGAGTTGAGGACAGTAGGCGTTTTTTATCCACTTGGTTTTGTTGATTTTAACTGTGAGCCTGATTTTCCTTGTCTTCGCTAAGAGCTCATTTAGCAGATTTTACAACGATTGACGCCTTTCTGCAACAAATACTAAGAGTGGCATTTGGGATTTCTCGCCATCAATACTGATTCCATATGTTGCATCCATACTCCTAAGAAAGCCTTCCAGCGCACTGGTGAAAGCTTTCGGCAAACAGATGCCGCCTTGTTTCATACCTCGTTTTGCCTCTATTAATATAGGATCACCGAAGACAATGCTTTCTGTATGCGACCCTGTTATGGAGTTTTTGATAATAACAAGTATGCTGGATCAAATCCTCTCATGACAGCATTTAGCACAGCGTTGTGTTCCACTTAGTCAAAAGGTTTTCTGAAGTCAGCGAAAGGCATGCATAATGAAACTTTGTATTCCAGGCACCGCTGTAGCAGCTGTATTAGCACAAAGATGTGATCAACTGTGCAGAACTATTTATTAAACCCTGCTTGCTCTGTTCTCGAATTCTCAACAAGAATTTCCTCGCTTCAAGGAGTATCTTGTACATGTGGGGGAGCAAGCATACTAGACAGTAATTGGCAACCGTCCAAATAGATGACGCACGTACATGCTTTTTTCTGAAAATTTAAAAATTACTTATAAGTACTTACAGGATTTGCGATTAAATTGTTTAGCCCTGCGACGGTGGTCACGAGGCTCACTTTGTATAGTGGCTGCTTTAACGAGGCCATCCAGAATCTCGTCATCCGGTGATTCGCGGCTAGGACTTAGTGAATCCGCTGGCCGACTCAACGAGCTCGACGCTGTAAATCTTCCACGAGAGATGTTCGGAAAATTTTAGTTAGGCCAAAGTTAGGCCGAAGTCGTAGCTGTGGTAAATTTTATCGTCCGTTTGTGGAATAAGGAAAGCAGAAGCAGTGAGAGAGGGACAACACAGAGGAAAAGTGGAGGAGGAGGGAGGATCAGCATTTTAATTTGCTTGTTCAATAGATTTGGCTGTTTCCTTTTTTACCTGAAATAATATCAGCAGATGACCGTTCAGGAGTAGGCCTTGCTCGCGTCCTCTTCAGCGTATCATCACCTCTTCCACCAGCCAACATACGTGACATAGCTTCATGACGCTGAAACAAGTATGCGAGTTACATCCTGTAATCATTCACATTTGAAGCAACCATCCGGAAGAAATTCTTCACGGCATTAGACGAAAAATTAACACAAGGTGAACGACTAACTCTAAGAGTACTTGATCATCTTGTTACTGAATTGATCGAGAATGAGACGAGACCGAATTTAAGGGTGATTTCCACAGCACAACGTTCATAAACGACGGGGCAAGATGGTAGGATGGCTGTAGAGTCTTTCGAAAATACAATTTAAAGAAAAAATTTTATTAAGTATGATTAGTTGAGTGAAACAGAGAAAGAAGGTATCCGACGGAGTAAGCACAAACGGAAAATTACTAATTTGGGAACCCAGAAACTGTGAAGTCTTAAGCGGATGTCCCCTGTCCATGCATCCCTCGAGTATGCACGTTTCTCACGTACCGGCACGTGAAATTTCTGAAAAATTGCTAACACGAGAGCCAGACAAGATAGGAAGATGAAAATTTGGGAGGACGTCCCCTCTCCAAGTGCGACCTAATGATTTCACGTTCAATTTTTCAGTACGCATAGTTCTTACGAATGGACGCGTGAAATTTTTGGCAGTAAAATTACTAATTCAGAAAGCAAAACAGTTAGGTCATTTTCAGTAAACGACACAACGGAAATTGTTCATTTTCTCTTACGCAAAATTTACGCTGATTTATGGTAATGAGTGCAAAAGTTAAATGTAAAGCAAGAACCACTTCTGCA